TTCCTGCGAGGATCGATGGAGGAATGTGAATACTTGAAAGGCCTGCTTCAGGAGTATGAGACTTTAAGTGGCCAAAGGGTGAACCTAGCGAAATCAGCTGTCTACTTTAGTCGGAATTTAGAAGAGCAGCAATGTCCAGACATGGTGCAGTGTCTAGGAGTTGGGGCTGTTGGGGTTCAAGACAAGTATCTTAGCTTGCCTACCCTGATTTCTAGATCTAAGTACGATAAGTTTCGCTATTTGGAGGAAAATTGCTTCAGAAATTACAAGGGTGGAAACAGAGATATCTCTCCTTGGCGGCAAAGGAAACTCTTCTGAAATCCGTGGCTGCGGCCTTACCGATTCATGTGATGTCATGTTTCAAGCTCCCTCTCTCACTGTGTCGAACGTTGGACAAACATTTGGCTCGGTTTTGGTGGGGAGCTCAGGAAGGGCAAACTCGGATTCATTGGATTTCATGGAGGAATTTATGCCGAAGTAAACACGATGGTGGCCTTGGGTTCCGGCGTTTTGAGCAATTTAACCAGGCTCTGCTGGCCAGGTGGGATGGCGGATTTTGGAGGACCCAGACTCGCTACTAGCTCAGGTGTACAAGGGAAAGTACTTCCCGCATTGGCACTTTGCTCTCTGCTCGAAAGGGGTCTAGACCATCGTGGGGCTGGCAAGGCGTCCTATATGGATGTGACTTGCTGCGCCAAGGGCTGCGGTGGAAAGTTGGGTCTGGAGAAGCGATTCCTATGCTGGGGTGAATTGGATACCTGGCTTGCAGTGGGATCAGGTGCAGGTCAAGCCTACGGCGCATTTGACTGGGGCCGATACTATCTCTGGTCTAAGGGCAGCGGAGAATGGTGGGTGGTGCCTAGAATGCTTGCAAAACTGTTTCCCGTCGAAGGAGATCGATGCAATTCTGGCAATTCCGCTTCCTACGGTGCCCATGGAGGACAAGATGATTTGGGAGGAGGATGCCTCGGGTAAGTACACTGTCAAGTCAGGATATCACTTGGCAATTCGGTGTAGTCGGGCTAGAGATAGTTGGAAATCAGAGGTCAGTTGGATGGATCGGAAGTTATGGATGGAGGTTTGGGGGTACCCTATTCAGCCTAAGCTTCGGTTCTTCCTCTGGCAGGTTTTCGGTCGTATCTTGCCAACTACCGAGAAATTGATATCCAAAGACGTGCAGGTCCTGCCGAGGTGCCCCGTATGTTGGGCGGAAGAGGAAACGATAGAGCATTTGCTGTTATTCTGTCCGATAGCGGTAGCTTTATGGGATGCTGCGAGTTTGCGCCAGTCCTTGTATGTACATCCGACATCTCACATTGGCATCTTTCTTCGGCGATTACTCTCAGCGAACGGGACGCCGGATATGGTAGTACAAGTTGTGGCTCTTCTCTGGCGGATTTGGAAGGCACGGAACTGGGGTAGTGTTTGAGGGTAAGCAAGTGCTCATCTCTGTGCTAACGGCTCAGTTTCATGCACAAGTCACATAGTGGATGGTGACGCTTGAGCCGCCGCTTACCACGGTACGAGATATTGGTGGGTCATCGTCGCATATGCAGGGTATTTCACAGTTGCCACCAGATCACGTGTGTTACTTTGATGGGGCGATTAGGGCAGGTGAGCGGGCAGCCATAGGGATGGTACTTTGTGATGCATCAGGGGCGTTCGTTAGTGCGAGAGGAAGTTGGCTTCAAGGTGTGCCGGAGCCAGCGATGGTGGAATTAGTAGCGTTGCGAGAGTCCGTTCGGTGGTGTGTCGGCGCGGGATTTACGACAATGCTTCTGGCAGGTGATGCAAAGGGGATCATTGATAAAGTCAGAGCAGGAGTGGTAAATGATGCGCTAGGCGGAGCTGTGTTGCTAGAAATCAAGTGGATGCTCCGAGATAATCCGGGATTCTCAGTGCACTTTGTAGGCAGACAGAACAATAGGGCAGCCCATTTAGTGGCTAGAAAAGCCCTCTCTTTGTCTCTGCGTACTTTGAGCAGTTTCGATTTTTGCGCTTGGCTCCATTAGGAGTTTTAAACGTTGTATCTTTGTTGTTCTTGGTAATACAAGTTATCTTTGGTAAAAAAAAAAGGATGCAAATATTTGGCTTGTTGAAGGTATGCACCTGAAGTTCACAAAAAAAACCACTTAATGAATATTAAACTTGGAACCAAGGCTTGTATATATCATTATATCCCTCCAAATCAATCCCGCAGTATGCGGAGAAGTTTATATAAGCCTTGTTTGGCCCTGCTGTAGCTTTTGCAGAAATAGCTTTTTGCTGGAGCTTTTAGATAAGTGATTTTCAATAAAAGCAATCGAGTATTTGGCTGTAAACTTAATTTATATTTTCTTTTTAACTCACATGAATAATCTCAACATTTTGTAATAAGACCTCTTTCAGCAATAAAAACACAACATATTTGTAATAACGAGTATTGGAATTTGAAAAGGGTCCAATCAATCATTCTCTAAAGATTGGATATTTGGAATGTAGGATTGAGTTCTTCCTTATTGGCCGTAACTGAACGGCAGAGGATAGAGTCAGTAACCAATGGTTACTGACATGTCAGTATTAAATCCGGACCGGAGATTTAGGGATAACATTATTATATGGCTGGGCTGCACGCGGAGTGAGGAGGGGCATTTTTGTCCGAATTTTTTAAATTTGATTTCTTTCCATTTTTTATTTTTTCCAAAATTTATATATTTGTCTTTTAATGGAGAAAGAGGAAAGAGAAAAGCAGACTTCTCTCTTCCTCTCTCTTTTCTCTTTCTCTCTTCCTTTCTCTCTTCCAAACTCCTTTTTCCAGATCTAAATCTCCTTTCTTCCTTGTTCTTCATTTTTTTCACCAACAATCGATGAAGAAATGCAGCCTCCCACCTCAAATTCGGTGACGCTCCAAATCCTTCTTCTCTCAAGCTGCTCCTTCCTTCTGTTTTTTTCTTTTCTCGGCCTCAAAATCGATGATGCTCCACATTGTCAAAGAGGGGACAGATCTAGGTGAGTTGAGTTTGCATCTTTTGTGTTTTAGTATTTGCTTGTGAATTAATTCCGATCTTCTTCCTCTTTTTCTTTCTTTTTGCATTTGGTGTTCTTGATTGCAGAGGAGTAAATGAGGGGAGACAGAAGACAAATTTTTTTTTTCTCTCTTCCTCCTTCTGTTTCTCCTTATTTGAGAATATATATTGATATTACCACACTATACCATATGGTAATGTGTGCTAACTAAATGTATTTTTATAGTCACGAGTTTTATCATGGTGGTAGTGGGTGGTAATCGACACTAGTTCCGAGAAAGAAGAGTTAGAAGACAGTGAAGGGAGAGAAGAAAGTGAAGAAAGTTGTAATTGTATATATATATATATTGAGATTATCACACTATATCATATGGTAATGTATATATATCATATGGTAATGTGTATATACCATATGGTAATGTGTCTATACCATATGGTAATGTGTCTATACCATATGGTAATGTGTGGTAACGAAATGTATTTTTATGAATATCATGTTTTTACTATGGTCGTAGAGGGTTGTAATTAGATTTACATGGTTTTACCTTCTCATACCATGTGGTATTATATGGTAATTATAATTAATTTGTGGTCCTTTGATTTACCATGTTCTACTATGGTGGTATCGTATGCTAGTTAGATTTATAATTTTCTGTAGCATGGTTTACCAAGTTATACCATGTGGTGGTAGTTTGATTTGTAATTTTATTTTAGCATGTTATACCATATGGTATGGTATGGTAATTAGATTTGTAAATTTATGTAGCATGTTTTACAACGTTATACCATGTGGTATTGTATGGTAGTTAGATTTTTAATTTTCTTCAACATATTTTACCATGTTTTACCACGTTTTACCATGTGGTATTGTATGGTAGTTAGAATTGTAATTTTCTTCAACATATTTTACCATGTTTTACCATGATAGTAGAAAGTGATAATCATATTTATACTTGTAATTAGTGTCTTTAACAATGTATTATTTAACGAAAAAATCATCATTCAATTTGAGCTGGAATTAGTTTAGAGATAGTAAGGATGGTTAGATTCATTTTTGTTGTAGATGGGAGAGAGAAGACATAATATATTTTTTCTTTTAATAATAAAATAAAACAAATAGTGAGAGAGAGGGGGAACCAGACAACCAGTGTGAGGTGGGGGAGTGGGATCCGCGTCGCGTCAGCGCGTTGGTGTCATCATTAAATAGGGGGTGCAATTTTACCTTAGTGCCCATCCGTGTTTAATTTAAATAAAAAAAAAAGCTGACACGTGGGGACAGATGATTGGATTACTAACAATTATTGATAGCAAAGATACTTACATGATCTGGTCCCTAACTAAACAAAGAAACTTATTGGGTTGCTACTTGCTCGTAATCGCCTTCTTCTAACAACTTTTGTAGTGGATTAATGAATCATGAATGAGTGGGTAACCCACCAATGTTCTAAAGAAAATGATCGTGCGATATCTCATTAATTAGGATTCTTCATCATAATAATCCATATTTAGCTTCTCTTAGTTGGTATGATTTGCAGTGGTGGGGAAACCACCATCTTGTCGCGTCACAATCACTACCCTAAATAGTAAATATCAATAAAGTTGTTTTTCTTCTCTCTTTTACGGTTTAAACCCCAACCCCAAGCTAGCATACAAGCATGCAGAACAGAAATGAAGAAACAAGTTATCTTCTCTTTCTCTACCATTAGGTATCCTTCCAATGCATTAACTTCTTTTCACCTAGATTGTATAAAGAGAAACCTCTTTTTCACCCTAATGAACCAACTTTGTTTGCTTTTCCTAATTCCTTATAGAAACTCTAACAAAAACACGTACAACAACTCACAGAAATAGCTTTTGAGGGAGTAATATAATGGGCAACAAACAACAATAAAGAAACTGTGTCTTCCAACCAATGGTGGTTTGCAAGATTCGTCATTTGTTATGATCACCAAGTTTTATTCACATATATATGTATCTAAAAAGCTCTATACATCTTTCCACCATTCGTGTCTTCTCCTCCCAAGCTCACAACTCCTCTTTCTTCCTCCACATATATATTGCATCTTCTCGGCCTTTTGGTCCTTCAAAATGCAATTCTTAACCGCCGCGAGCTGCATGTTTTTCCTTTCCTCTCTTCTACTTGTGGTAATTCCTTGTCTTATGGGCCAAGCAACACCACCCGGCGAAGGAGGAGGCAAGCTTCTGGAGCATTGTGGTTTCACCGCCATCTACTGCTTTGGAGACTCCATGTACGATAGCGGGAACGCCCTGGCCGAGTCCCCTCAGGGGCCCATGGGTAAATTCCCTTACGGCGTCACCATTCATCATGCTACCGGTCGCTTCACCGATGGCTACACCATCATCGACCGCATAGCCGAGGCGGCCGGGGTTCCTCCCTTGAACCCGTATTTGAAGAGAAATATGGATCTCTCGAAAGGAGCCAACTTTGCGGTGGGAGGAGTGGGGCTTTTGTCCAAGGAAGCTCGAGCCAAATGGCACGTCAAGTTGCCCTTCTCCAATAGCAGCGTGGACATCCAGCTCAAGTGGTTGGGCCGGCACCTCAACCAGGCCTACAGAAATGAAACAGGCGAGTCTTTTTTCCTTTATTGTTCCGAAACTCCAGTGAAGTGTAGGATGGTTGAGAAATTTACACAAATATTTTTTTTGTTTTGTGCAGCTCGCCGGGAACACGTGGAATCATCACTGTTCGTTCTTGGTGGAGCCGGCAACGACTACCTGAATATGAACCTCAGCTTCAGCTCTCTCCCTCGGGTCGTCCAAATGAAGCGGATCATGCCCGCTCTCTTGGTAGCCACACAGGTATATGTGAAGGTGGGTTGTTAGCATTTCATTTGTATATATATATTTCTATATCGTGGCAGAAATAAAACTTTGTTTAAGTCATTCAATTTGGTTGACATGCAGACGCTCATAACTGAGTATGGAGCCAGGAAGGTGGTGGTGCCCGGAATCCTGAAAGCTGGATGCAGGGTGAGTACTGGAGGCTTCTTCCATGACACCCAAGTTCAGTGCGACGAAACCCTAACTTCGGTCGCTGCACTTCACAACCGGCTGCTTAAACGGGAGCTCGAGAGGCTACGGATTAAGTTCCCCGACGTGGAAATTGTTTACGGGGACATGTGGATGGCAACGCATTGGCTTTTCGACCATTTCGGTTCAGCAGGTGAGTGAGACATACAGCATACTTGTAACATTAATTCAATGAATTGTTTGTGATGATCAGCTATGAGATTGATGAGATGCATATGTTTTTTTTTTTCTGCAGGGATCCACCATCCCAACGAGAGATGCTGCGGGAATTCTTCGATTGGGTGTGGGATGCCTGGGGCACCATACTGCGGAAACCCTAGCGATTACATAGATTGGGATGGCACCCATTTCACGGACCATGCTTACCGGCTAATGTCCGACTTTCTGATTCCCCAATTGGCTTCCGGACTTGGATGTCGCGCTGCTGCCAACAATGTTCGTTCCCAAGGGTGATTAAGAAGAATTTTCTCTTTTATGCCAAAAGATTACGCAACGATTACTGCTCTCTAATAGAGATAGAATAGAATCTAAAGAGTATTCGATTGAGAAGCATAAACATACGTTGGTGGAATTAAGTGGATCCTGTCATGTTAACATTATAGAGAGTTGTATGAAAGGATGAAATATGTCCTCTACATTTTAAAAAAAAAAAAACTATAGAGAACACATCCCCTAATCAAAGAACGCAGAAAAATGGAAGAAAAGAGCAAAGAATTGAAGTACACTTGGAATTCAACTCTAAAGCACTGAACATGTATTTATTATTGCACGGGTGTAATTTGTAACTTGGTCGTGAATGTAAGAATCAACTAACAAAACAACCAACAACATTGAACCAATTAATCACCTCGATCCAAGAGCTGAAACACTTACAAAGACTCGGAGGGTGCTGTAACAAGAACACTAAAAGTTGTCGATTGACTTGTTTCCCTCGTTTTAAAGCATTTGAATATGAGTACTTCCCTTTTACCTGCAAAAGATGCTAAATATCGAATTATAAAGACAATTGAAAGGAGAATGTGATTTAATGATGACGGCTAACAGTCTGCAAGTGAAGGCAAATGATAAAGCGTTTCAAAATCGTGTTTACCTAATATTTATGACAAAAAGGAAATAGAATCTTACTGGTGTTTCTTTTTCCGAAGCTTGCGAGATGTCCGCAGTCACGGCACCAAAATTTTATAGTTGATTGTAGTGCTCACCAAATTTACCTGGTCCTTAGGTCAATATCTTATTTTTCTAGCGTCTCTCACATAACCCTAACTTGGGAAGCGAGGTACGATTCTATTGAAAAAGTGAGCTATTTAGTAGGTTGAGGTGCCTCCGGTTTTGCATAACGTAAGAGTTTGGAAAGTAACACTGTGCAGAAAAGTAAATCTAAGGCTAGTTGATGAATGAGAGATTAGCAAAGGAAGGCGTTGCATATGCATGCTCCCCCTAGGTCTCTTAACCATGCGTCCCTTGATGATCGGTGGCCTACGAGCTTTTGATCTCTTATTTCGTTAGATCCCACCTTGTGTCGAAGCAGCAACCCGAACTAATGGTCCACAAGGACCCTTTGGATTTCTTGAGGAGTCACGTTGTTTGATCGAGTAGAACTTCTATTTCTAGTAGCATCCTAAACTACTTGGATTTCGATCCTTGCACCTCAAAGGAGTGCAAGGTCGACTTAAGATCTCATTCGAAACAACACATAACAAAATAGAGGAAATCAAACATCACACATGAGATGAACACAATCTTATTAAATCGAATATCGAGTTTAACTGGTTACAACCCGTAGGATTCACATACCTACGTAAATAAGGAACATAGTTGTCATGGGAGGGGTTCCTGAGTGTTCATCAATTGAAACGAAGACACCAGAACACCCATAGGAAATGACGTCGGTAACAGAGAAAACAGGACCTGTAGGGGCGTCGTTTCTCCCTCATAGGTTGGTTTCTTTCTAAGTCATGAGGGTTGCTCTGTCAGCAGAGTAACGAACCTTCCTTGACCTCTCGTCTCCTCCCATTTCCTATCTCCAGGGACCTATTTATAGGCCTTTGATTAGGCTTTCTAAGGAGATAAACCCGTAGCTCTAGCATCATTCAGCCAATCAGGATGCTCGAAGTACGTGGCCATCGAATCAGGAGGTTGCAAGATGACTTTCTGACGAAGTGGTTGGCTTTAGTAAAACGACGTCATTTCCGTCGTTTCTCTTCATAAAAATGGTGCACCGGGCGCCATTTCTTCAAGGCGTCCTATCTTCGAATCCCAGCTCCAAGAAATGGATCTCGGTGTCCCCTACGGCTTCCAAGTGACCCGCTAGTATGCTTTGACTTTAAAATGCACAAAAAGCAACTAAAAGTGTATCAATCATGTAAAAGCAATCCTAGGGTTGCTAGAACACGCTTGAAGCAATCATAGGATAAATTCAATGTACTATGACGCCAATGATGGGAAATATATGCACATTGCGTCGTAATACGAGGGTCTATAATAGATACTTTTACGTGTCATCAGTGTGACACATGTTTTTTTTTGTGAATTTCTGTGGGGACTATCCTATGGTGATTCAATGAGTGAGGACAGGGTTGAGTCATATAATATGGGCGGAGCTCTTCCTCGTGCACTTTTTCCTATTGTACCTTTACGTATCGTCAGTTTAATAGGACTACTCGTCTTGTGGCAAAAAATTCCCTTTCATCAATAGTTCGACTATTGGTCGACTGTCATGTTTGGTTACTATATCCTTATGAATGTCTCAACTTTTTCCCTTATTGGATGTCTATTCTTAAAAAAATAACCCCAAGGATTGGCCTAATATTAATGTAAGGATAAGAACATCCACCACATCCTTAGTTCAAACCTTGGGGCCAACAACTAAAATAATAATAATAATAATAATAATATAAAACTAGAAAATCAATAATTGCATGAGCAAGGAAGCATAATATTATCTGTAAGAGTGTGCTTGGATATATATATATATATTTCAAATTTATTGTTTGGATATTAATTTAAATTTATTGGGATTTTATTTTTTTATTTTTTTTAGATAAAGGTGATATAAGTTGATTTTATAATTAGGTGCTACTGAAGGGATTCGAACATGTGACTTCTAGACTCAAGGCTAGTGAGATTGCCGTTAGGTCAAATCCTTATTCTTTTAATTATTTTTTCAATTTTTGGTTTTTTCCAAACATTACAATTGTCAGAAAGTTACATTTAGTACCAAATTTATTTTATCTTACAAGTTAGTACCTAAACTATTTTTTGTTGAAACAGATCCACAAATTTTGGGTAAATACCCTATTTTGACCTAAAGTTACGCATAGTTAACAATTTTGGTTAGAACTTTCAAATAAGACATTTGTATCCGACTTTTGAAATTAATGAACAACTACTCAAATACAACTCAAATAAAACCATTGTCGAAAATCAAAAGACGCAACATTCGCAAGACATAAGGAAAGGGTCTTCTTACCAATGAAGCCAATGCGGAAAGTTTGATACTTTCGTGGTAGCAGCTCAATCTCCGCCAAAATCCTACCACCACGCACATTGCAAGTATCCTGACTACCACTAACCCTCCCCACCCCCGCTGCATGAGATCCTCGTACGACTGCCCCATCGACATAACACCTAATTCCTGCATGCACCATCACCCTCCCTTGTCATCGGGCTCCTTCCACACCGACTCATCAATCCAATTGGATGGATAACGACATCCACTCCTGTTACATGTTCATTATACTTTTGTATTAGCACCCTTGGATCATACTATACATTATCAAACAACACCCAGTTCCTGAACATCCATATTTGCCAGAGCATGGCCACAAATCTACATATCCTCTCAGCATTAGCATTCTGCGCAATAAACCCCCGGAAAAAAATGCAAAATTGACTTGCAGCCTTTCCTAAACCGAAATCCCAAGCACTGAATTTTCCCAGAGGTAAACCGCAACCCTGCAAGTGAGAAAAAGATGTTCCAATGTCTCTAACGGTTCATAACAGACTGGGCACTGCGCCAGTCATGCCTCACCCTTTTCTATAATCGCCTTTGATGTAGGAAGGATCATCTTCATGGCCTGTCAGACGAACAACTTAAGTTTAGGCGGAATGTTTAAGCCTCACGCCTGTTTCCAGACTGTGTACTAAAAAAATTAAACATCCACCTTCCAACCAGGTTGACGTCTACTTATTTATAACGCCAAGTGATACTGACTCGCTATGACACAACTCCTAACAAAGGCCAAGTGTAACCAATGAAAGGGACTGCAGTATAGTGGCTCAAGTGATAAATATCGAATCCACGGGTCTCTAGAGTTACTATTACTCAGCTTCAGTTTATTATTTAGCAAATCAGATTAAGATGAAAGAACTAAAACTACTCTAGCAAACTACAGTTAAAGTTAATCTAATTACAGGTTGGGAACTCACTTAGGTATGATTCCCCCTAGCCACTAGCCAGATTAACGATTGATGATCTCTAACCTGTTTCACTTTCATTCACAATGCGGAGAATCCTTGACTAGACCTTGAGTCTCGACTAAAGGAACAAGGCCCTCTTGAGTCAATTGCCTAGAGGGACGTATCCTTCTCTAGAACAACTGATCAAGGCGTTCTGAACTAGACTCCCTCTATCGAAAGGGGTTCTCAATCGATACAAAGCAGTGAATCAACCCTCGACTAAAGCAATCGATCCACTACTATCAATCTATGGTGCTCTATTGACCTAATCAGGTATTCCCTCTCATAGAATCAAAGCAGAATCAATAATCTCGACTAAAGAAGAATTGAATCATGAAAACATGCATAGATTGAATATGAACTCAAGATTATCAAGTCAGAGTACTCATACAATCATCCAATCAAACAAACATAGCTAGGGTTCCTCAAAACCTAAGTGAAGGGAAGTTACTCCATAGAGAAGAGAGAGACTGCAGTAAGAATCTTCAGATGATCAGTCTTCAAGTCCGGGCTTGTTCCTCGAGCTTCCAAGGCGAAGAAATCCTCCAACTCCACTCCAAGAATGCCCTCAAATCGCCCTCTCTCTCTTTGGTTCGTCCCTTGGGTGTTTGGGATCCAAAAACCCAGCTCCCCTCTTCCTTTTGGTTGAAAATCTGCTTAAAAGGGCATCAGTGGCCAAAGCACGGTCGACGGCACGGCCGTGCTTTGCCTGAATCCGCCCGTGTCTCGGCCAGGGCTTAATTACACGGCCAGCAAGTGGGTTAAACACGGCCGTGCTTCGCAATGTACACGGCCGTGCTTTGACTGAACACGGCCGTGCTTCGGTGCCCGTGTTTGCAGCTGAATTGGCCAAACTGAATTTGCTCTCGGCATAAAAAGCACGGCCAGCAGTACACGGCCGTGTATTGCCTTAGGCTGCCCGTGTTTTGGCTCCAGCTCACCGAAATGACTTCCGAATGCCCCGAAACTCGTGGTTAGCCTTCCCTTTGACACCTGGGACCTGAAACATGACAAAATAGCACAACCCGGCGTAAAATAGGCCAAAAGTACACGACTATGCCCCTCAAACGGATAAGAACTAGGGGCGCAAATATGTGCAATTACATCGTTATCAGATACCCTGACTTTACCGAGTACATTGCCGATTGTTATCCCTCCCACACCAGTTTATCCTCAATCTACAGTTTATCCTCAATCTACAATTAGAAGTTAGAAATAATAAATAAGAAGTCACCACTTTTCATAACACAAGTTTATTCTCTTTCTTTTGAATTCATTTTTCTTTTTTAATTTAAAATAAATTTTCAGTTCATTTTTGGTGTAGTTCCTTTTGTGGTTTTCATTAGTCTAATTTATTCCAAATTTGGTCCACAAGAATGATTGTATTTGAATTACTAGCTTATAACTCGGCCCGTTGGCCGATTAACATTATGCATGTTCATATTTGACTGTTTATATTCATTAAAAACACGGTCCATTAATGAAACAAATCATAGAATCCAACACTGGACCATAAGTGCATTCGATCTGGTGGGATTCGATGAAGTTCGTTCGAAATGTCCCATCAGAACATTTTTCTTTTGAACTTATATGATTGGTAGGATGAAGGTCCAGGACATATTAGA